CCCCAAAACCCCAAAACCCCAAAACCCCAAAACCCCGGATTAATAATAACTCTTGAAGGGTACAATATTCATTAGTAGTCCATTTAAGCTGATCAACTTGGCAATCATAAATTTGAATGAGTCTAAACAATGACACTTGGGTGTACTCATATTCGTGTCATGCTCCGTATCTCTACACTAGAGGAGTTAATAAATATCCTTTACCTATTCTCATATTCAAATCTGGATTGGACCCATAAAGTATTGGTTGTGCGCAATACTTGATCGGCTCATCTATTGCAGATTATTAAGGGTAAATCCAGATGTCCTGCGTGTTGAAATAATCCTACAGAATTTAAATCATACTTTTACTATGTGCATGCAGTTGGAAGATATTATCTTCAGATCTATTAGGATATTCTGACAAAGTACCGATGCTCTTCTCTTCAAGAAGAGTGACTAACTTGTTGAATTCTGGTAACTGATAATGATAAATAATCAAGCAGAAAGGAAATCGAAAGTAAGGATACTAGCAGGCTTACCCAGACATCCATATCTATTCTAAATAATGAGCATGCTGACTTACACAAGCGAGCCTAGGAACTTCTTGCAGAGAGTTTGTTCTTCTTTTGAATCTATTGAGGCTGCTTCTTCAATGAGGTTTATCAATATTTGAATGCACTCTGGGGAAGAGCATTTTATACTCCGTTTGTAAAGCAAATATCTAGAATTCGAGGGAGCCTTACTTGTAGTCAGAAGTCATTGGGCTTAGATCGTAGGTTTGAAGGTCTTCACTTAACAACTTGGAAGCAAGTTGGGAAGTTTTGAAAATTACTGCTAGGATTATTCGGAGATTGGAGCAGAAGAGATCCTTGACTCTATAAAGAAAGATGATTGAGTAAGTTAATTTAGAGAATGTGAAATAGTTTAGAGTTTAATTTGGTTCCAAAGTATATAATTAGGTACTTGTGGGATAAGGATGACATTAATCTGTGACATTCTTCTGGTTGACTATAAAAAGGAAAGATATGACTGCAATAAGTCAGGTTTTGGATCAGATCTTGATGGTTAGTCATTATTATATTAATATTTATACAATTTTACTACCTTTTAAAGGGGTTTTGGGGTTTTGGGGTTTTGGGGGATCG